CAAAACTCAATTCCAAAAAGGAATTCTTATAAGATGCTAAACCTAATTATTATAATTAGTTGTCCCCTTGACGTTCCATATGTTGGGCATGAGGGACGTTTGATGAATCGCAAAAAGAATAAATTCAAAGGGTTTTGACAGGTGACATTAAAGGTATGACATTGATTTTTAATTTTCAATTGTCACCTTCATTTTCATTTTTCGAATATTCCAATTTTATTAGTCAGAAGATGTGTGTCTACTTTGTAAACAATGTCAATTGCTCAAGATGACCAAACTTTTGTTTCGTTTGATCTTAAGCATTAATTCAACTACATTATTCATAATAATGTGAACTAAGAGCGACGAAGTGTTACACAGAAATAGATAAATATCAATTTAACGAGGGCTAATGTCTCTGCAAGCGAAAATTAATAAAGGAAAATATCTAGCGAGCGAAAGTTTGAGTTTTAGGGGCATAAATGGGGACGTTTTGTATGGAAAATAGAGGTCCCAACCCCCAAAAGTGGATGTACTCTTATCTCTTTGGACTTTAAGGGGTTAAACTGTGCCCCTGAGCCCTATTTTTGGGGAGAAATGTATTTTGGAATGGTGAGTTTTTGGAGAATGTGTGGTTAGAAACAAAAAAAAATAAAAATTTCCGTGTCAAATTATTTTATGGGATAACGTGTGGTTGAAAATGAATTTTAGAATAATGAGTTTTGGAAAAAAAAAATGGTATATCTTGCCTTTGACAAAGAGAGATGCAGGAGAATTTCTAGCTAAGAAAAAGCAAAGAAAAAAAGCTGCATTCTTGGAGTTTGGCTATGAGTTCAACCGGTTGATGTATTCAAATTTAGCTATGTTCTCGTCATTCAATGATATCCTAAACATTCTAAGGTATGATGAATGAAGTAATCTACTTTGATAATATTATTTCAATTTCCATTTTTTGATTTCAAGTATGCTTTAGTGCTGCGTTTTCATTATCATTTCAAGGAATGCTTTGAGAACCATACGAAGACCTTGATGTAACATACGTGTTATTAGGCTATTAACTTTAATCATAAAATCATAAATTTAGATAGAAGATGAAGATAGAGATAAAAATATTCTCGTATGGTTTGTGTGGTCGTGTGTGAATTTCTATGTTTTCAATGCACTTTATATATCGCTATTCACATAGGGATAATAATGAATTTATATAAATTTAATTTTGCTCTAGGGAAATTGTCAAATAAGCTAGCTAGGAAATTTCTATCAACTGCATGTAATTTTTAAAACTCGATGAATGAAATTGAATTGAATTTAAGGTGAAATCACAAGTCGTGACAATTTAATTTCATGGAATCTTTTTCTAGAGCGAAGATTGTTAATCTCTATTCCATCATTCATAGTTAAATTTTCTTTTAAAACATAATAATCTTTTTAAATAAAATTAGTATTAAGCAAATTTCAATACTTTATTAGTAGGATCTGTATTAATGAACTTATGAGATATGGTACCATTGATGGGACGAATCTTATTCATAGGTGGTGGTATATGTAGCCCGTTGAATCAAGAAATTTACTCTGCGAGCTCATTCTCGTTGGCGAACTGAAAGCAACATGCGAGGGATGAAAAATACAAAAGGCTCGGAAGCAAATAAGGTGAGCCATTCCCCCCTTCTAGGTTGGCAAAAAACTGTTACTGAGGCACACATGGACAAACATTTAAGAGTAATGCTATTTAGCCTCACTGAGATTATAACTCCAGTTTATGTGACGTTAATGTGACATCAAATGATAAATACAATTAAATTAGTAATTTAATTTCACATTTCATTTAATTTATCATATATCACCTCATAGAGCATGACTTCAAAGTCAATGAGCGCATGAAACATAAAACTCATGAATATAACGTGTTACTTAAAATAGAATTAGTTACAAACAAGCCAGAGGCCGCCACCAATTGCCTATCAAAAATGATCCAGTTATACCCAAAAACTTTGGGAGAAATCTATAAATACTCCTACTCAAGAGAAGAAAATAAATCAAATTCAAATATTTCCCTCTCAAATAGTCATTTCTACTCTTACTCTGATTTGAACATTAAAATCAGTAAGTTTAGGAAGTGAAAACACTGGCTAGCTAGATTAGAGAAATTTGTCGATCGGATTTCTATCGTTAACATAGCCATTTCACAAACTTGTCGCTTGTGAAATGTTGAACATGAAATCTCAATCAAAAGTTTGGGTTATGTCACTTGTGATTGACTCTTGTAAGTACTTAGGTGACCTTCGTTATAAGGAACGTCGTTTAGTACATTGCAACATAATTGAGAAGCTAAGTGCTCCATGGTAGATCGAAAGAGACAAATCTTGACAGATGATACCTAGGAAAATGATGCTTTCGTAAGCTAGCTAGGTGTGTTTTTCACAATGCATGCTGGAAGAGAAGGTCTAGCATGAAAGATAAGAGCCAATTAGGATAGCCAAGTGATGACCCC